TGTCACACTTTTTTCATGGTTTGGATGGTCCTGTGACTTATACTCCGTTGCAACTTATATATTAAAATTTTCACACTAACAGTCGCGAAAGGGCGCTCTAGGCTTGTGTGCCAGTATCTGCTGCTCCTACTACTCCTGCACCACTGTCACTTCACGCGCTACTACGCATGTCTCCTGCAGAAAAAGGCACTGTCCTGCTGCAAGTACTGAAATACAGTATTTAGCCGGAACCTGTAATCAAGCAGCAGACAAGAAAGTTTTGAGTGAGCGAGAAACTTGTGAGGGACTGGTGGAAAGTGGTGATGGAGAACACAGCTTCACCGTAACTGGAACTTTTCTGGAAGTCACTGGATGGATCGACAAAGCCTGGACTTCAGTGACAACCGCAACCATCCTGTCGGGATTCAGAAAGGCCGGAATAATTCTAACTGGAACTGGTGCTGAGTCTGACAACAGCTACGCAGAAGAGGAAGCGGCGCTCCCTTTACCTCTGGAAGGTCGCAGAGTTGCTCAGAAGTGACACAGAGGATGAAGAATTTAATAGATTTAGTGATTTGGAGTGAGATAGAGAGCTTGGTAAACTTGTTCTGTTCTGTTGTTTATGCTCTGTTCATATGTGACGTTCACAGTCTGTTGTTCTCTGTTCTATTGTTGTTACTAGAACTTGCCTTTCAAGATGAAATGTTGGTTCCTGGTCTCTGATTTTATAAAATATATTTCCTCTAAAAAGTGTGACTTATAGTCCACAGCGACTTATATATGTTTTTTTCTTCTTCATTACACATTTTTTGACTGGTATGACTTATAGGCGAGTTTCATTGTTGACAAAAGCGCGTGTTGCATGCTGGGAATTATTTTGGTCGGCAGCAATAAACACTAATTCAACATGACGGATGAAGCGAGAAAACACGTAAAGGGTATTGATCCCAGTTATTTATCCACTCTAACGGCAGAGGACCCAAGACCATTTGACCAGAAATTGGTCATAAGCATCGATGGAGCCAAATCACCCTTTTCAACCCCGACAAAAGGTGGACCAAACCAAATTTCTGGTCAGAATCGCCAACTACCTGGCGAAATATTCACTTCAGCGATATCCACAATGACTTGGTGGAAACTCCTGGGCCATTCACAGCAGAAAAGATGAAAACCTCCAAGAGTCTCGATGCTTTGTTGAACTTGTTGGAGTCCACGGTTTGTTAGGATCTTCTACGTTTGCTCTGCGAATGTTTGAAAGCCGTTTAATTCGCCGTTAGCGGTTCTTTTCACTCAGAATACGAAAAAGACATTTTCCTTCTTCCGTGCTTCTATTTGTGCATCCGATAATGCAGCAGGAATTTCCCATTATCGGGGATAAATACGCGAGGTTACGCACTGTGTTTGACGCTACCGTGTTTCTATATGTATATATATACGTCTATACTCTGGAGCAACTTATAGTCCGAAAAATACTGTATTCCACTAAAATCTCAAAAATCTTGTTGTTTTGTGACATTATATTTTGTCTTCTTTCTTCTGTCTAACGTGTAAATTGGTACCACCTGAAATCATAGCACCTGGTCCCACATGTTAAAGTCATTAGAACTTACAGGACCAAAACAGGACACTCCCTCAGACCACTGCTGCAGCTCACATCTGATCACCACTGCTCCTGTCACACACAAAGTACTTCTGACAGTAGAGAAAGAAAGAGGAGGAGGAGGAGGAGGGGAGAAAAGGAAAGGTAGAAGAGAGAAAACAAGAGACAGGGAATACAGGGATGGCATTACAGAGAGAGGAGACAGAAAGGGAACGAGAGAGAAGGACAGAATCAGAGAGAAAGATAACATTACAGGTAGAAAGAGGAAAGAGAGAAGAAGGGATGAATCAGAGTTAGAATAGGGAGAGAAGTAAGAAGGATGGCTACAGAGAAAGAAGTAGAGAAGGAGAGAGAAAGGAGAGGAGGGACAGAATCAGAGTGAGTAGAATAGAGAGAAATAAAGGTTTAAAAAAGGCCCCCGGAAGAGAGAAAAGGGGGGACAAACAAAAAGGAGGGAGAGAAAGGAATGAGGGAGATGGAGAGGGAGTAGGAGAGATACAGAAATGGAAAAGGAAAGGGATGGGAAAGAGAAGGGGGAGAGATAGACATATACAGAAGTGGAGAGGGAAGCAAACCAGACAGATGGAGAGAAAGAGGGTATCCAAGTAAAACAGAGGAGGAAGAATGAAGAGGTAGAAGGAGAGGGAGAGAAAAGAGGAGAGAAGAGATGATTGAAAAGGGGTTGTATTATTGAAAACACCAGACAAAATTGAAAATGATAGAGACAGAGAGATTGGGTAGACCGAGGAGGAGAGAGACATGACTGACAGATGAGTGACAAAGACAGCGGAAAGAGAAAGAGAGAGAGAATGAGAGGAGGGGGAGAGAGTAAGAGAGATAGAATGAGAAAGAGAGAGTGAGAGAGAGAGATAAGACAAGAGAAGAGGAGGGGGAGAGAGAAAATGAAAGAAGCGAGAGAGAAAACGGAAAACAGAGAGAGAAGGAGAGAGACAGAGAGAGTGAGAGAAAGAGAAGAAGGAGGAGATAAAGAGAGGCGTTATGTTTGTCTTGAGCGTTCATGGTGATGAGAAATGGTAAAGTAAATGTGGGGCATTCCTCCAGTCTGAGGCATGTCCTGCTGAGGAGGAGGACGGAGTCGGGGTCATGGGCCCCTCTGCTCGTCGGGGCCATTCCTCTTCTCTAATGACTTCTGTCCATGTTGTACAGTCTGATAGGAGGTTTAAGTACGAAGGTTCAGACGTTAGCTTCTTCTGTGGCACTTTAGTGTTTGGCTCAAGTCATGATGTACTAACTTGTCTGCTGGACGGTCTGGCACCTACTCGTCTCCTTGAGGATCTTATTACTTGGCATGGAATATTACACAGTATGTTATTACTGGGTTTCAGATCACATGACAACATTCTGTTGGTCAGTAATATTTCATGCAACTGGGGAGCAGCTAAAGGAATATTGTTGAGATGCACATTTGTGTTGTAATACAATGAGTTTTAGGGTCTAGTCACTTATAGAAATGATCTGGTTCAGTGTTTGTGAATTCACTTTTTGGATATTTCTTGGCAAAGTACAATGTAAGAGAAACACTGACTCTTGTCTCCATCTGGGAGGATGACACCATCAGATTGTAGTATCTGGAAACCACCAATACAGTATACAACTTTGTCCACGGGGACAAAGAGGGACTCCACCAGGCAAAGTGACATGTCAGATGTGGACATGAGAGGGAAGCACACAGTAAGGATGCAGTCGCACTTGTCCTGGTTTGGTCCTGTTATAGTCCTGTTCTAGTCTTGGTTTAGTTCCCAGTTTAGCCACATTGACAGTTTGGGGACACACCTATGTGCACACACTAATGCAAGTCCAAGGTATTTTCAGCAATTAAAATGCATGTAGCACTTTTTCCAGTTCCAGTAAGTTCAGGCCCAAGGACACAACAACAGTATACATCTATGGGAGCTGGAATCACACTGGTAAACACTGTTACCTCCCAATCAGTGTTCATTCAATCAAATTTACTGTATACTTTTGACAAAATGATCAACCACAATTATAACTTTGAGATGGTAAAATGTCCAACATGTTATGCTTATGGATGACAACATTAATAGATAAAAAAAAATAAAAAACAGCGGTTCCCAAAATCAGTACATATATGTGTTGTATGGCAAAAGAAGGTGCTCTACAGGATTCATCAAACTGACGTAAGCACACCGTGCGCACATATCGTCCGACAGGTCTGAGGGGCATACCACACCCATTTTAAACAAACGCCAAAATACTCAGAAAAACAACTTTTAACTGCATGAAAAGTATTGCCCCTTAATTTTTTATTTTATTTTTTACAATCAGCTGAGTCAAAATTCTGTTTAAGTTTGGCAAAGACTTTTAGCTATCTTGTTTAGGCTACGCTTTTAAAACACATCCTAACTTATCACCATAACCTCATTGCTTTAAATAGAAAACAGCAGCAGCAGAATTTTGGACACAACTCGCTGCACTTTAGCCTGGAGCAGAAGCACTGAGTTCAGGTAACAGCATCAGTCAACAGCGCTAAAGACACACACCATGGTGCACTGTCTGTCCCTTCTGCACGGGCCTGGGAGTTCAGTCCTACAGTGACATCTCCGTGCTCGGATTCTGGCGAAAGCGAGACTTCGGTTCGCACGGCTCTGTCCTCCGTCCTGCTGGTTCCGGATGGGGGAGAGTGAGACCAGTGCGTAGTAGAGCGGTTCTGTCCCTCCCTCGTAAGTCCAAACACCCAGCGCAGATCCAGTCCGGGAAAGCAGCGTGTCGGCATCCTTCTCGTGCTATAGTTTCCTGCGGGGTAGTGATACCATTACAAAATGACTGGGTCCGGGCGGGTTAGCTGCCCTGTGTTCCGTGCCTTGGGTGCGGTTGGTTCCGAGGTGGAGCAGAGATGGCAGCGAAGCACGGAAGCGGTCTATATTGTTCTGAGCTGCTCGTCCTCCGCGCACATGGCTCTTCCCGGGGAAAGCATTGCTCAGGCCGAAGTACCTAACGCCACTTCCCACTCAAACTCATCTTTGTTGCAATATCATGTTTTATGCAATATCACACATTTTCTGCATTTTACAACGAGCCAAAACATATTTCTTGTTTTTTATGAAATTCTTTGCTATTTCCTCACCAGATAAACGCAGCATTTACCGTATTCCGCACCTTTATGCCGTAAATGCCAAGGGTGAGGCCACTTGAAACATGAATATTTTGAGGCGTTTCATTCAAATGACGCTGGTTTTCTCCCGCCACATTTGTCACTAAATGCTTGTGTGTTTGCCCTCTGCCTTTTGTAAATATATACTCTCAAATATACTCCGTTTTCACATCAATGTCTGTAAATGAGGGCCAATATTTCTATCTACTCCCTAATAATCTTTCAGAGTTGTTGACTGACAAACTACACTTGTATAATTTTATCACTGTTTTCTCCCTCCTCTTCCAGGGCTTTGGGAGTGTGTCAGGGGAGCACTGGTTGGGGAATGAGGTTGTGTACCAGCTGACAGCACAGAGACAGTACGCCCTGAGAGTGGAGCTCACAGACTGGGATGGGCATCAGGCTTTCTCCCTCTACGACCGCTTCCAGATCGGCAGTGAGAAGCAGAATTACAGGTAATTAAGGCAAATGCACGCGGCCACTGGTTTTATTCACAAACACTTCAGTTTGGACGTATATAGAACTGAGTAAAGCCGGTAATCACCACATAGTCTTAAACCTCACATGTTAAAGTGTGGAACTCGAGAGTGCAATAATCTAACTTCATCAACTCAATTACAGAGTATTTGTGTGACTAGAGAAATTCTCTGTTGGCAGTCCATTTGCAGTATTTTTGGTGTTTTAAAGTGATATTTTAAAAGGCACATCGATCAACTAATGTGTTTAAATAAGGCTAAGATCAAATGTACCTTTATGCAGTTGTAAGTCAATACACCAAAACTTTATGCCTACAGTATTGACACTCTGTATTGGCATCACATTGGAGGTGTTGTACATGTATCTTTATGGTGGAAAGTTCAGAAGTTACCATGGTGATACAGTGCACACATTAGTAAACATTGCCCCAAATGTTTTAAGAAAACTCAAGAAAAAATGAAAGATGAGAGATGAGAGATTTATTTCAGGGACTGGTTTCACAATAAAAATCATTTCACCAGTTCAGGTTCCAGCTTAGTCAGTGATGAAAATGTCAGTAATGGATTGGTTCATAAAAGTGTTGTGAAAGGTTGGAATAATGTAGATTAGAGAAGTTAAAGGTCCTATATTATACAAAATTGACTATTGTGAACTTTAAGCCTTAGAAAGTTGTTACCTCCTCGAAAACATACCTAGATTTGTGTTTTGTTTCATCCACATGTTTGAGTAACTCTTTATTATTAGTCTGTCTATATCTCCAAAGATAAAAATGCTCTTTTCCACCTCATCAAGTGGTAATTTCATGGTGCGTTTGATTATCCATCCATCTCCCACTCGGATTTCAGATATGGCGTCACGTCCACACTTCAAGCATTTTATTTTGTTTCACATGTCCGACTTGGAGAAAAAACGTGGAACTCCAATTGGAAAGCAGTTACTGTTGTACTTTATCTTCTGTTAGCAACCCTAGGGACATTTAGCAACACCCGTTTAAAACAAGTCTTTGTTCAGTATTGGCCGCACCACAACACTGACCACCATCCCCATAGTCAGTGGTATGGACACGGTAAGGTATTGCAGTAATACGAGTGACTCATATTGTGATTTAAACCACCAAAGCATCCAAACACAATGAAAACAGTTCATACTTAAAAGTGACACTGGGTGCAGTCATCTTGGATTCTATCTCGGAATCCTCAGTCTCCTCTGAGTCGATCCGAGTTGTGCGTGTCGCTTGGCAACGTCCTTGGACTTCTGAGTCAGATGGACAATCGAACGCACCATAAAGTTAGTAGCTACCATTTCTTTAGCAGAGATTGACAGTTCCAGGGTTGAAATTATCCACATGATTCTAGTGAAGGTGTATGGAGTTAGAAACATTGTGGAGAACTTCATTTTTTACCATGTGACATCACGAGGTGGAACAGAGTTTTCTTTGCCATTTGAGAGAAGAACTCATTATTCTAAAACAAAAGAGTAATATTGGCTAAGGACAAAGCAGTGTATCTTTGCACTGGAAAATACAGCAGGTCTTGGCCTTGGTAGAGGTCTGTGCTTCTCTAGTTAATGCTTTATTACGGTTTCATTCACACTCCAGTTGGTTTCATTTTGTTTACCACTGTCTCTATTGAGTTTCACATTTCACCATTGGCTGTGGTCAGACTGAGTGCCTGTCTCTTCAGAAGGTGCTTAGTGGTTTAAGAAAAGAAAACAACGTAAACCTACTCATTACAGCTTCGCAGACACTTTCATTATCTGGATTCTCTTATGTAACTTTGCACCGGGATTTTTTTTGTCCCTGTTTGAGATTCTTTCCGAACCCATGCGGTCTCCCGTGTCTCTAGGTCTCTTGTGTCTTGACTGGCATTTTGTCCTTGTGCGTTTTCAGGGGTTGAAGGTCTAGTTTTCTTTTCAGGAGGTTAATGATAACATGCTTCACGCTGTGGCAGATGCTTGGACGCCAAACTACCGCGAATTCCTCAGAGTTCAGCAACGACTGGTTTTAGAGGTGAAAGTCAGGTTTTTAAAAGGTGCTTGAACCTGATTTTTACTATTCTAGCAATGTGGAAAACAGAACTAGTTCATATTAAAATGTCTTATATTACATTAAATGGACTCTTGTGAGCTCTAAGTTATGTTAGAATGTTGTTACCTCATGAAAAACATGTCTGGAGTTGTGTTTTGTTTCATTCACACATTTGAGTAACCCTTTATTATTAGTCTGTCTACATCTCCAAAGCTCAAAATAGTCTGCTCCACCTTGTGATGTCATGAAGTGGTAGTTTTCAAGTCAATAACTACCTTTTACCTTTCGCTCAGTGGGCTGCAAATATCCAAATGATTCTAGTGAAGGTGTATGGGGTTTAAAAACACAGTAGAGCACTTTCTGCATTATCACATGACATCACAAGGTGAAACAGAGTGTTTTCTGTTTGAGAGAAGAACTCAACTTAAAGGGTCAGTCCGGAATTTTGGGTATAGGACTTCATTTCCTAGTGAGCCAGAGTGTTGGAGACATGTGGAGATGCTTTTTAAAATATTCCATCCAGTCTTTGTATTTGTACAGGTCGCTGTTGCTAAGCTAGTGCATGTCAATGGCCATAGTTAGCCTGCCACTAAAAACAGTCTCACCCACTCCACAAAACACCCAAAGAAAATCTATTATTACGCCAGACTGTCGATGTGAATGTCTGTGTCAATAGAATCATTTTAGAAAACCAATCTTGCATTTGACGGATTTCTGTCTGAGCAGCAGCAGCAGCGAGAAAATAGTCCCTGAACATGAGACAATTCAAGCGATGCAAGGTTAGTTTTATTTCAAACATTATTCTATCAACACAGACATTTACACCGACAGCCTGGCGAAATAATTGTTTTGCTTCTGGAGCTTTGTGGAGTGGGTAAGACTGTTTTTAGTGGCAGGATAACTATGGCCATTGACATGCACTAGCCTAGCACCAGCGACCTCTGCAAATACAAGGACTAGAGGGAATATTTTTTTAAAAAGTGTCTCCACACATCTCTAACACTCTGGCTCACTAGGAAATAAGGTCCTATGTTCAAAATTCCAGACTGTCCCTTTTAAATATGCAGGGTTTATGTATTAAACGTGTATGAAACAAAACACAACTCCAGGTGTGTTTGTGATGAGAAAACATTGTCACATAAATCAGAAAATACATAATTTGGGCCCTTTAAATATTTTTTTGCTCTCCAAAGTTACTCCTCACTTTCCTTTATTATTATTCATCAAGATGAGTTTATAAGTGTATTTCAGCTTTCAGAGACCCTCACGATAATGCTACATCTATGCACTTAACCTGCACCAACATTACTTCCTGGTTCGTGGAAGATAACTACACTTTACGATTAGAAACAGACAACACACAGCAACCTCATTTTGACCTTACTGCACCTTTTAGAATATTTGAACTGAGGCAAAAGAAATTTTACTTTATGACATGAAAAAGGCAAGGACAAACCCTTCAGCATTTATATGAAAACAGTCAATCAAAATCTACATTTCAAATTGTGACTAAGCAGTAGATTTTTATAGAGACAGTAGGATTTTATTAGATTGTGGGTGCCGGCATATCCAAAAAGTGAGGAACCCACTTTCAAATGACTTCCACATTTGCTCGTATTTGATATCTTTGCTGTGTTTTTGATGCAGTGGTTTGACAGGCATACAGTCTCTTGGATTAGGACTTTGCAGTGGTCTGTGGGAAAGAGAAATCAAGAGGATCAAATAGTTTTATTGTTTGGCAGATTGTCCAGAGACACTTTCAAGTTTCATGCCAATAGTGTGAAAGTAAAGAATGGAGAAAGCAATAGATCTTCCATTGACGGTTTTCACATTTTTCAATCCTGCATATACAAGCCCGAGTGTGACTTTTTGAATAACCGCAAATAAGTACAGAGCGGTGGGTGGAGATAGGGGGTAGGTGAAAATGGACTTTCCTTGAGCTGAGACCTCAAAATGCAGGACAATACTGGATTACCATATTTTTTTGGACTATAAATTGCTCCAGAGTCGCACCAGCCAAAAAATGTGTAATGAAGAAGAACAAAGCATATATAAGTCACACTGGACTATAAGTTGCACTTTTGGGGGGAAATTCGTTTTATAAAATCAGAGACCAGGAACCGACATTTTATCTTTAAAGTTATAGTAATAAGAAGTTACAGTAATAACAATAGATGAGAGAACAACACGCTGTTAATGTTACATATTACCAAACTCTCCATCTCACTCCAAATCACTAAATCCATTGAATTCTTCATCCTCGGTGTCACTTCTGAGCAACTCCACGACCTTCAGAGGTAAAAGGAATGCCACTTCCTCTTCTGTGTAGCTGTCCTCAGACTCAGCATCAGTTCCAGTTAGAATTATTCCGACCTTTCTGAATCCCAACAGGATGGTTTCGGTTGTCACTGAAGTCCAGGCTTTGTCGATCCATCCAATGACTTCCAGGAAAGTTTTCATGATGCACAGTTCCGGTGTCACAAGTTTCTCTCTCACCTCAAACCTTCTTTTTGTTACTTAATTACTGTATATTTCACTACTTGCAGCTTGTAATCTATAAAATATGATTTTCTTTTTCTTCTCAGTTGTCTTTAAAAGTTTGTTTAAATTTTAAATTTATTGACATGATACAGAGAGAATAGCAACTCTGTGTAGTAGAGTGCGACGTGACAGTGATACAGGAGTAATAGGAGTAGCAGATACTAAAACACAAGCCTAGAGAGCCCTGTCACGGCTGTCAGTGTGAAATACATAATATATAATTCGAGACCACCCAAACCATGGAAAAAATTGTGACTTGTAGTCCAAAAAATATAGCACTCAAACATGCGTGAATCAATGAAAAAAAAAAGTAAAGTAAAAAGGGCCCATATTACACTATTTTCTGATCTACGCTGTGTTCTTCTCTCAAACAGAAAACACTCAGTTCCACCTTCTGATCTCATGTGGTAA